GAAGTGACTTATATATATACAATATTTATTCATTTGCATTCTAGCCATTTTGTGCGATAATGCCCAGTTCATCCCATTTCAAATGAAAATGCTGACAACAATTAGTAATTGCTTAATAGTACAATTTTTTGTGTGATTGACCTGATTTCTTTCCAAGTATTTTTTTTTATTTTTTATTTTGCTTTAGAAATGTTGCTTTGTACTGCTGGATTTCTCTTTTTGTGATGAATAATTTTTTTTTGGTAAACTTTTTGCAGATTAAAGGAGACACCCGAAAGTCAGTATATCATGCTCTGATCAGATTGCTTCAGGACAATGACATTGCTGTTAGAGTATGCTTGCTTTCAGGCTCCTATTCTATCATATGATAATGTGTTGCACCAAATCCTATGTGATTCTATATCATCTAAGGCGTGTTTAACTTTCTATGTTTTATACATTTAATGCATTCAGAAGGACTTCCGGAGCAGTTGTACAGCTGCCAATAATTTCAACTATTGTTCACTTTTTTATAGCTTTTATTTGCTAATTTTAATGGTTGCTTTTCATTTGCAGCTTGCAGCCTGTCGTTCTTTGTGTTATCTAGTTCAAGACTCCAACTCTTCTGAACAAGACTTTTTTGACCTCTTGTCCACATGTTGGAATATGTGCTTCAAATTGGTGGAAGACGTTCAAGAGCTAGACTCGAAGGTTTGTTCCAAGTAACATTTAAGAAATGCTTGGATTAATTTGTCTGTATATTTATAATTATTTTTTGTTTTACATAATGATATATCGGCTATTTATATGTAAGCAAGTTTGCAATTTCCATTATGCATTGTGGTATGTATCCGTGCGCTGGGGGTGTAAACCAATCGAGCCGAGCTGGAGCTCATGCCATGCTTGACTCGAGCTCAGTTTGCTTATCAAAATGCAAACTTGAGCTCGAACTCGATTGGAGCTTGGTTTGCCATAACGACAGCAGACTCTTGCAGTAAAGTTAACGTGCAGGAACTATGTTTAACGTTTACTTTAGTTTTGAATCAATAAGATAATCTTTAGTATAAATTTAGCAATGCATTGCAATTGTGAGCGAGTCAATGTAAATGAAGATTATGGTGGATATTTTTGTTGTTATTTTGAGAATAGAAGAGTTTGATGTAGGTGAACTTAGAGGTTAGAGAAGTGCTTTGAAAAAATTCAATCAAATGAACATGAGGAAAGACTTAGAAGGGAAAGTGAATCCCTGTAAGGGAAGCCAAAAGAAAAGCATTTCTTTATTCCATGATCCATTTATCGAATTACATGACTCTGGGCCCTATTTATAGAATATGCTTTATTTAAAATGTTAAAATTACCCCTAAACTGATAAAATAATAATAAATAGTACTAAATGAAAAGTAAACATACAATATATAGTTTGATAAAAATAAGACTTAATATTAATGACTTGAGTTGTCAACATCTTGCACTGTATTAATACCCTCAGGCTGTTAAAACTCTACTCAATAGCAATAAATTATTGTTGAAGGAAGAACTATGGTCGTGGACTGTAATACAAATCTAGTGACAACCATCCCGTTGAGAAGAGCACTGAGAAATCTCTTGATGATGATGTGACGAATAGGACTTTCCCCCATCCTGCTGGAAGTAGAAACAAAGGCAAAGACCATCAAAATTTATCGACAATATCAATAGGACACTCTTTAATCCTCAAGAATAGTACAATAACTTTGAATAGATATCTTTGAAAGCTTTCAAGGCTTTATGAATATGTCTGGACAGTTGTGTTTTGACTGATCTACTGAATGATTGAAACAATGGTTTTGCAAATGGCTAAATGTAGTAACTGATTGAGCACAATCAATAATGAGTGTTTGTAATTTTTAAGTGGACTTGGTTGTATTTTGAGTTGTAGATGCAGATTGCAAGGCTGGTGCAATGAATTTGTCTGATTAGTAAACAATAATGCACGGAATTTTTAAAATACGAATGTAGTAGAGTGGGTTGTAGCTTGTATGTGTTTCTACTATAAAAAGCTGAAACTGAATTCTGTATGCATATATTAAGTATTGTGGGGGAATTGTGGGATGTGATGATCGAGGAGGATCCCAAGATGTTTCCTTATTTTAGGTAATTAGTTTCGTGATTCTAGAAAGCGGTCACTATGTTTAGCGGTTTTACACTAGATTTAAGAGTTAGTTGCTCTTTTTAATGGATTTTTATTATTTTAAAGTAATCTTATTCTATTTTTATGTTTCATTTGAATTTTGAATGGTTTCTCTTATTCATTCTATAATTAGAGATATCCTTGGACCATGTAAATATGTAGAGTTTTTTTTTTTGTTTTTTATATAAAAAGCCCAAGGGTTGATATGTTAAAGAGAAAGATACAGATAGGTGTTGACCTCATTTTTTAGTGAGGTCTAGTCTTCCTCTTAGGGTTTAGGATCTAGCCTTAGGGACATCCCTTCGATTATCTTAGAACCTTAGAAACGAGACCCGCCTCATTTTAGAAATTAAACCCGCTTCCGCCCTCTTCTGGAGTTCGACTTCTAGCACTTAAAATGGTGAAACCAACATGAGGAAACCCAAAAGGGATCCCTATAGGACCTTCCTGAGCCTTAGAGTGGCCTTTTGCACAATTCGCACCCCCGCGCGCACAAATTTTGTCATTCGGAGAGTCGACACGTCCGATCGTCTCAATTCGCATCGCTTGCACTGTTACCCGTCGAAGACTCGAATAAACTTTTGAAGTGATCGATCGCGGGTCGAAATTTTGTAAAATTTGAATTTTAACGCGTTTTTGACCCGATTGTCGACGAAGTCGTCCGAGCGACCCCGGATGACAAAACGGACTGCGCCGGCGCGTCCAGAACTTAGATTTTGCCCAGGGAGGACACCCATTTTGTTACGTCGCCGCGCGCGAATAAATCAGATATAATTTAATGTATATATATTTATATATTTATATATATATGTATATATCTATTAATTTATATTAAAACCTTTTTAGCCCTTCCTCTTTAAGCTCTAACTCCCCTAACGCACGCACCCGAGCTCTGTTTCCTTCCCCTCTCCCGTTCGCGTGTCTGACTCCTTCCATTTCTCGGTCTCGAGCCGAGCGAGCTCCTCCTCCACGCGAGA